CCATGAAAGGGTGTCATCCAGTTCCGCAAGCGGGGCAAGTTGGGCCCCAGATACATCGTTCATTTTAGAGTTATTGCTCGGGTGGTCAAGTTTGCTTATCGGTTGGATCTTCATGTGAAGCTTAGTCATATCCATAACACCTTTCATATTTATCAGTTGCAGAAGTGTTTAGCTGATGATTTTACAGCGGTACCCTTGGATGACATTCAGGTTGATGAGTGTCTGAATTATATAGAGCGACCGATTGCCATTATCGACAGGAAGATGAAGACCTTGTGCAAGAAGGTGGTAGGTTTGATCAGGGTGCAATGGCAGCACCAGAAGGGTTCTGAATGAACTTGGGAACCTGATGAGGAGATGCGAGAGAATTACCCGAGTTATTTGAAGCAACAGATTTTAAGGACGAAATTTGATTCAAGTGGGGAAGAGTTGTAACTTCCGGTATTCAGGTATGAATTTTGGTGTTTAATTTTTGTGCAATTTGGTGGCCACGACGTGGTAGGGAAGATCACTACGACATGGCAACCACTTCTGGGCCGCGGTCATTTTTCGTGGCCATGACGTGGTCACGTATTGGCCACGACGTGGCAACGTCCCAAGATCAAAACCTAATTTTTCGGGCTTAAGGCCCTATTTAAAGGATATGATGGCTAGGATTTCGTCCACCCTCAACCTCCGTTACCCTCCAAGTTCATAAATCAAACCCTAATACCTTGATTCCTCATTTGATCTCATTTTGGTGTTCTTTGCGATCCTTGAAGGAAGGAGAAGAACTTTGTGGTTAAGTGTAACATCCTATTTCGGATCGTCTGTGATTTAGGGTTCGTGGGCTGCAACCCGAGCATGAGGAAGCCTTGAGGCTGCGACGAGTTACTAGAAGCGTAGGGCTTCTTGCTACCTTTCCGTGAGTATGAGATTCATTGGGAACAGACTTATAGTGAAGGAGCTATGATAGTTTGAAGTTTTGGCAAGTTTAGTCCTTTATTGAGAAAAGGTGGCAGCTGAGTACGCAGGGCGTACGTGTGTACGCTCAGCGTACTCATGTGCGTGATTTGGAAGCGGAGCCACCTAGTACGATGGGCGTACCAGAGGGTACGCTGGGCGTACTAGGCTCAGAATGAAAACCCTAAATGAGGGATGTGTCCCTATTTAAAGAACATGATGGCCTCATTTCTGGCCACCATTTCCAGACCACAACCCTCTAAAAACCATAAATTCCATCCCTTCAGCTTGAGTGTCCATTTGTGAGCTTCGAAGTGTTCTTGGGGTATCCTTGAAGTGAAGAAGGAGAATTGAAGAGAATGGAGTTGGAGTCCAGGCTTTGGATCTGAGCTTCTCTGTGGTTGGAGCATCCTTTGAAGGTATAAAGCTCAGAGCTTTCTCATCCTTTTTGATTTGTGTATATTATGGTCCATTTTAGGGTTTTGGTCCCAAAGCTTGAAGCTTTATGAGTTGTTGAACTCCAGAGCCTAATATTTGTCCTTTTAAGTGTTTCTAGTGGAGAGGATTCATAAAAATGAGGTCTTGGACGTTAACACCACCTCATGCATGAGATATGAGCATTTTTGGGAGTAAAGAGTGAGAGTTTTTGGGTTTGGGACTTCCTCGGCCATGCAAAGGCTTAAAGTCGTGAACTTTATTGAGTATGAGCCTTTAGGGAGTCCAGATCTGAGAGTATAGTTATGGTCTTAACGGATTAAGACCAAGGGAGTGGGAAAAACAAGTCTGGACGTACACCGAGCGTAATTCTAGTACGCCCCGCGTACTGATCAAGTGTCCCCGATGGCCCGATTAGGATTCGTGTGTATGCTGAGCGTACCAAGGAAGGTACGCCCCGCGTAATCTAGCTGTGGGCTTTTTGGGCTAAATCTCATATTGGGCCTTAAGTGTTGGTCCTGGATTTTAGGCTTGTTGTGCTGGAGATTTTGATCAGAGAAATATATGTATATATATTGGGCCCTTGTGTTGGACTTGCCATTTGGACTTAAGTTTAAGAGTTGGGCCTTGGGAGAGCCCATTTAGTATTGGGCCTTGGTAGGCCCAATGGGCTTGGCTTATTTATGGGCTGGGTGGTGGACTATCTTTAGACCTAATGAGTGAAGGTTTGGTCCTAGATCTTAATTGGGTTAATTGTGGGTTTTGGCTCAGTGTTAGAGGCCGGTGTGCAGCAGCAGCATTTATAGGAGTTGTTCATCATCCGAGGTGAGTCTTCTCACTATACTTACCTTGAGTGGTAATTTTGTGTGACCGGAGGGTCTTGCGTGCTTATATTGAGTATTGTAATATCCTGCATTATGTCTTTGTGATTTATGATGTGTATTATTCTGAGCTTTACTGAGTTAGGATCGGAGGGTCCAAACCGAGTTGTGAGACCGGAGGGTCTTCACTGAGATACCGAACTGGAGGGAACGAACCAAGCTATGAGACCAGAGGGTCTTCACTGAGACACTTGACCGGAGGGTCCTTATTGAGATATAGCCATGAGGGGCTATTTTATTGTGTGTGGTATTTTGGGGAACTCACTAAGATTTGTGCTTACCGTGTTGTGTGATATGTGTTTCAGGTACTTCTCAGGATCGCGGGAAGGCGCTGGCTTGATTGTACACACGGGATGGAGTTATATCTTGAGGATCCTGGATTTTTATTCAACATTTTATGGATATGTGTTTTGATAATTTGACACTTTGGGGTTTTTGTGAAATGTGTAAATGAGAATTATGTGATTTTAAAACGAAATAATTTGTTTGAAAATTTACGGTGTTACATTAAGGGAACCTCTTGGAAAGCTTAGGGATTTCATTTGAGCAACTTCTGTACCTTTGTAAGTCCTCTATTTCAGATCTTGATGGTTGGTTTCTTGTAGGAAATCTCATGGTGAAGTTTAAATGGTTGGTTACCCTAAAGTTTGCAACTTTATAGGTCTTGGAGTCCCAAATGCCTTATATGTTTCAGATCTGAACTCTTGTGAAGTTTTAGTGCCATGCATGGAGTTTAGACTCCATTCCTCACCTTTTTGTTCTAGTTTAAGTGAAGGACATGAATGGGTCATACATGTCTATAAAGTTTGGATTTTTATGAACCTTTAGGGTCCCAAGAAGCCTTTCTGGAAAGTTTGAGCAAAGGGCTTAACAGATTCAGAGCTTAATCAATTAAGTTGTATTCAACCAGAAACCACGATGTAACATATTGCTCGCCACGACATGGGGGGGGGGGGTCACGACTATTTTGCCAGGTTGTTGCCACAACGTGGTGACATGCTTGCCACGACGTGGTGGTGGAGATGGTCGCGACTGTTTTGTCGGAGAATAGCCACGATGTGGCAAGTAGTTGGCCACGACATGGTGAGCATTGATCGTTGACTTTTTTTGACTTGGTTGACTTTGGGTGAAATTGATAGTTTTAGAGGGTAGACTAAGGTTTGACCTTGAATGTTTCCTTAGGTGGTGTGTAGCACCATCGTTTGGCTGTGAGAGCTTTTATATTACGTCTTCAATTGAGAGGTGAGTCTTCTCACTATACTATGTAAGATGCTAGTTGTCTTTGTGACCCTTGGATGAAAGACTAGGATCTAGCACTAACAGTTATATGAAAGACCAGGATTTGGCCCATGAAAATTATATTAAAGACCAGGATCTGGCCCCTGGCAAATGCCTGAAAGACTAGGATCTGGCCTGTGACACTTGTATGTAAGACCATGATTCCTATGGTAGGAAGTGATTGTAAGACTATGATTTGGCCCATAACATTATGTTAATATGTGAGTATGAAGTACATTATGTTTTGATAAGTTGAATAAGAATTATCTTTAGAATGTTTGTTATGTACGAGATCCACATTTCATAATTTACTCTTACACATTGGTTTACTTTTAGAGTGGCCTTGAATGAAAACACACGGTAATTTTGCATGTAGTATGAAATGAATTTGTGGAGTATTGTTGGTGCAAGTAAAAGAGTAAATGTATAGGTTTGAAAGTTGCCCGTCCAAGTTGAATCAATACGAAATGTTGGAAAATATGTCTGTAACTTGGAACACGACTTGGCAAGTCGCCATAAGTTGTTTTGCCATATAGTAGGTTTCCACTTGATTTTTATGACTTTAGACATGACTTGGCATATCCCGTAAGCGTAATTCGTGAGATAGAAAGCAATTTGAAAGTCATCCAACTTGGTTAATAGTGTACGGTGGTATCTATTACACGAGTTTTCTCATCTATTTTACAATAGTCTTATAAAAGGCAATTTGGGGAGCAAGATTGGAACCGGTTAGAGACATTAAAGGCCTTATTTATGATAAACCTCTTAAAAAACTATCGATTTTGAATTCTATTAGGCTGCATTTTGGTAGGCGGAATACAACTGGACTGAACAGAACGAACACAATTGGACTGAACAGAACAAGGTCAACCTTTGATCAAGCCCGAATTCAATTGGAATAAACAGAACAAGATGGACCTTGATGAAGCCCAATAGGACTAATTCTTCAAATTTTATCCACCCTCCACCCCTTATTCTCGTTTATGACTTCTTTGGCTTCATAAGTAAAAAAAATGTATCACCTCTATAGAAGAAGATCATTATGGAAGTACTTTAGAAATAGACTAGGATTTGTGTAATCCGTTCTAAAAAAAATAAAAAGAAAATAAAATAATAATAATAATAATAACATTCACACCATTTCAACCTTCAAGTGCTTAAAAATGGAATTCAAGATTTTTTACGTAAAATTTAGAGTTGTAAACTTATTCCACACCATTTTACATGGATCACTCCAATTAATTTTCTGATATTATTCACTTGTTTTAACTATTTTCATTGATACTATTCGCTTGTTTTATTTGCAATCCAGTAAAAAAAAAATAAGCTCATCAATTATACTCGTTTCAAATTTATTTTGCACACGAAATACCAAACCCTAAACCCTAAATACAGATGAATCGATAAACATAGCTCATCTAACGAAGAAAAATTAACACAAAAACATGCTCTCGACTTGAGAGCTAAGCATATCTACACAAAATACAAATACAAATTTCTCATCCGTATTATGCTATATAAATCTTCATCCACAAACTTTACACAAAAGCAACTAAATAAAAATCGACACAAAAGATACACAATATAAGACCGAATTCTTTTGCTAGTTTTGATTTCTAAATAAAAACAAAACAAAAGGACACGTTTGCTTGCGGATATGATGTTTCAAACATCTGAAATCCTGATCAAGATCCACCGAGGAAAAGCTGATCAGGACCGAAGATGTCAGACTTTTCCCCCCAACCCACTGGGTTGGGTTGGGTTGGATCAGTGGATCAGATCAGGGTTCTAGTTTCATGGAAACTACCCGTGATTGTCTGTTACGCTTTGCCACCCTCACAAAGACTACAGATAAACAAGATGGGGCCCACCATGGTCGTCGAACCTTTTGCTCCCCCTTCAAGCAAGCCACTAGAGGATCAACACAAACCTAATCAATTTATTTACTACAAAACATTCCAAAAATTGAAACTTTATGCTAATGAGATACCACATTTTAGTATATTGTAAAAGCCACCATTCAAGATTATAAAAACTATAATAAAGGAGCTTGTAAGAGCTAAAGAGAAACTAATAAAACATATTATAATAATAATAATAATAAGTATTGCAAGAAAGAAAGTTTAAAAGATATATAACCTTTTATCCTTCTGAGTTCTTTGCATAGTGTTATAAAGTCACCCCATTTCATGTGACAACGTCGAATAAACCTAAGAATTTGTTCTGTTGTAAACATAGACATGCCCTCAAGATACTCTCCATTAACACCATTTTCTTTAAAAGTTTGGCGATACCCTCCAAGATTTATTTCCTCCAACCAAAGCCCAACATCCTGTCACACAAATTTTGACCACAAAAAAAGTCAACCACTAACCCACTAAATGCAATTGCGAAGGCCTCGTTGCATATAAAATGGAAATTCGAATGTAAAAGAATGGGATTATGAGCAAAAATAGAAATCAAGAGCAAGTATAGACTATAGAACACAAAGACGTATTGATATGTCTTAATAAATTTGGGAGAATCATCCGAGCACCAAAGGGATGATGGATCAAAATTGGGTGTCATTTAGAATAAATTTGGTTGATTTATGGGTATGGTAGGTATGCTGAATTGACTATTTGATCCTAAGCACATGTGGAGTATCTGTAAAAAGAAACCTCAAACATGATGATGTAATTTGATGCTTTCAGTGAGCATGATTCTGAGAAGGAACGGTACGACTGGAATTATAATTTATCAAAAAGGATGTGTAATTGTGCACAGTTTGTGTAAACCATACAATCGCTTGCAGAAAACGAAGAACATGATCCCAAAAGGGCTCGACAATTTCAATTTCCCTCCCACATTTCTCGATTAAAACAACGAAATGCCCAATTAACACAAAACACAATTGAACGACGAGATCTGTAGATATAAAACAAGAAGTGATTAGGCATACCTCAACCGTCCAAATGAAGAAATCAAGCGGCTCCGGTGGCCGTTCTTTGCTCATCTCACAAAATCTCCACTCCCGAAACAAGAAAACGAACCAACCAAAACCCTACAAAAAGTTTCAAAAGTCAAAATCGCAATTCAGTCGATGAGATCACGAATTGAACGAATCGTGGAATAGAAAACAACAGAATCGAATACATTTACCAAGAAAAAGGTGTTCCGATGAGGTTATTGATTCAGTTCATATGATAGCGAGAGAGAACATAATGCCCTTTTTCAGTGTGTGTTGTGTGTGTGAGAGAGAGAAGGAAGAAGGCAAGTTGAAAACTTGAAAGGATGGTTCTTTGTAGTTTGCACCGAAGCTTGTAGTGTGTGACCCAAAGTCTCTTTTTGTTTGTCAATATTGACATGTGGGCCCTCCCTCGTCATTTTGCTTTAGTATTTTCTATTTTGTCACCTTTTTAAATTTTACTTGTGGTCTAGCATGCTTAAACATAATATCAAATCAACTTTTGAAGTTAGAATTTGACTCAAATGCATTCAACTCAAATTTGATCGAACTAAAACTCAAGTCTAAGTATAATACGAATGGGGAACATAGAATTTGTGTTTAAGAGGAGAGACTAATTGTCACAATCTAGCTAAATATTTAATTTTCCTAATCAGACTAGAGGTGTAACTATTAGATGGCCGAAGGAAGAAAACTCCTTGGGTTTCTCACTTTTCATGTCGACTTTAAGTAGGAGCGGAGAAAGAAAAAAAATTGATTTTTAGGGACGGAAATATGACTAGAATTTCATGTTTTTACAACAAATAAATCAAGAGTAAACACTTAAAGTAAGTAAACCTCTTTTTACTTGTCTTTATTATTAGGGTTTATGAACCTTAGGTAAAAACCAAGTGTTCCGTTTCATTTTTGTTGAGTTTTTTAGGTTAGATCCGATGGGTCTTATAGGTTACAAAATTATTTGCACAACAGATTTTTACATAAACATTTATGGGTACATGCAACCTAGAACTCTGGTATTTTCTCAAGTTATAACAACATACTTATTGAACAATCATTTAACCTATATTATATCGAAAATCATATGGTTAGAATACATACCTTTTGTTATAATCAAATATAACAAATCATATATTCAAGTCTTCTAAAGTTCCATGGAAAGTGAACAACCAATAATCATATGGTTAGAATACATACCTTTTGTTATAATCAAATATAACAAATCATATATTCAAGTCTTCTAAAGTTCCATGGAAAGCGAACAACCAATAGTATGAATGTCTTTAATGGTTCACACCCAAAACTTTAGAACACCAGACAGACAAGTAGAGAGAATAGATGATGAGAAATCCATATTTCTCATTCTATAAGGTATTAACCACGAAATTGTGATGCATAATGGTCATATTTATAGTTTAGGTAACTTGCAGATAAATCCGGATTTGAACAATTAAATATTAGAATTAATCCACAGTTCAATCTTTTCCTTATCGGATGTGACAACCCGAAAATCTTTGCCTTGTAAGTTCAGCCATTCAATCCGCAGTGTGTCAGACCCGTTTTTGCTATCAATTAGCATTGTTTAGAGTTTATTTAAGGGTTCAAAGCTCAATACATTCAAGCATTGGGTATAGGATTGAGTTGCGTAAGTTCTTAGCCTTGAAATCAAGCCATGCACTCCATGTGAGGGAGTGTACGGTCGTACACATGAGTGTACGGCCGTATACATGTGTGTGCAGCCGCACACCCATCATGACCGTGCACCCCCTCCATAAGTGTGATATCCCTTCATTCCTAACCCATTTCCTCAGTTTCCAAGTCAAGAACATCGATTTCTCTCTCAACTATCATCAAGCCTTTCACCCGATCTTCAAGAATGTAAGCTTTCTTCCATTTTGATTTGTTGTTATTCCTCTTAAACTAGTAACACCCTTTGATTTCATCCATTGAAAATCATCTTTTGGCTAGATCTTCAAATCTTCATCCATTTCACCAAGAACACCAAGAACACACACTTGTTCTTAGTGATTGTGAACCTTCTTGAGCCTCCAGATCGTAAGTACTCCTTCCCTATGCTTAGTACATTATCGGAACACTAGATTAACACCCTAAAAACGACCAAAACTCAAGATCCAAAGGAGTGTACGGCTGTACACTCATGGGTGGCCGTACACCCCTCAAAACACCCCTAAAGGGCCTTCAAAGTGCAAACCTAGCATCAACACTTGATGAGCATTTGTCCCACAAGCTTCCCTATCATTAAAAGACACTTTTGTGCACTTGTTACCATGAGTGTGCGGCCGCACACTCCATGGCCATACACCCATGGCCGCACACTCCTCATTGTGGCCATACACTCCCCTTAGATGAATCACATGTGATTCTAACACTTGGTCCAAGTGTTTCCTAGTCCCTAAAGGTGTTTCCTTGCATGTGGTTGCTTCTAAACACTATATTCATGCCAATATATGCCATTATATGTCATTTAGGACTCGTTTGTGTCTCGGTACTTCATTCGTGGAATTTCTTATCCTTACGCGCATATTCGTTTGAATCACCCACATAAGGTGAGTTCATACCCCTATAATCAATCTTTTAAACTGTTTTAAATGATTTTAAAGGGGGGGGGGATACAAGTTGAACACAATAATAATTGTGTAAATGTGTGTCATAAACATCTTTCAAAGGATTGCTTATGTTTTTATAAGTGATCAAAACATTTCAAAAACTCTTTTTAAGTTATGTTACTTTATAGTTTATAAAACTCCATTTTTAAAGTACAATCATAACTTAATAGATAAATGAGTCTTTTCAGTAACAGTTCAAGTAAATATACTAGTAAACTATAATAGGTATAGTGTAGGGGTTCAGTTCATACTAGATACTAGAGCATATTATAAAGAGAAACAGGGAGGTAGATACAATACACGATAACAGAAAGAACATACTAAGATACTATAACAGAAGGAACATACTAAGATGCTATAACAGAAAGAACGTACTAAGATGCCATAACAGAAAGAACATACTAAGATGTTATAACAGAAAGAATATACTAAGATGCTATGACAGAGAGAACACTATACGCTATAACAGACGAACAAATCATGATTAACAAAATATACCAATGATCACTAACTCATTGTTCTAAACAAAAGGTGATAATAAATTGGGTATACAAGACTACTATAACTTTAATGTGAGACTACTTCACGGATTAGCAATTTGTTTGCTGAAGTCGTGTTTTGTAACCAAAATCTCTTGCAGGGAGAGCGTATAGTATGGGTACAACCACATCATATTATGACCTTAATAAAACAAAATTGTCTTAAGGTAATCAGTAGTTCAAGTTGTCAATTCAAAAGACAACTGTGTACTTACATTTTCCCATTACTTTCATATTGTGACAGTTCCATTTGAAAGTTAATGCAAACTATTTTCGAGTTAAGATAATTATAAACTAGGGAAAACATACATCTTTTCAAGCGACAAACAGAACAGTCGGGTCTAGTACATTCAGTAGAAAGGGACCTATAATGCTAACTTTATGATTCCTTAGTCTATACATCAGGGATATATATTAATCGGATCCGACAGGTAATAGGATGTGTGCTTTTCGCTTCATTTTCTGTTCCTTGTTTGGTTGTGGGCTTAGAGCAAATTCACCCAGCCTACTATCTCTCCGATCTTAGCTATATATATTCCGTATACACCAAGTAATCATAAGGAGTACCATGAATGGGTCAGGTTATAGGACACTAATTCAATGCACCGTTTTCTAGTACAAAACATACTTTTCAAATAGAACATTTGGTAGTCAAAACTAGAAACATACCAGTAAAGGTTTAATCCATTTTATTAAACCCATATAACTTAAAGGACCTTAGGTGGTTAATTCTATAATACCTTAGTTTATACATCAGGGTTATATATAATTAATATCTGATAGGTAGTTGGATGTGTGCTTTCCGCCTTACTTCCTGTTCCTTGTTTGGTTGTGGGCTTAGGGCAGATTCACATAACTAACTATCTGTTCGATATTAGATTATATATAGCTAGTATAAACTAAGTGATTATAGAAGGAACTATTGTGGTTACCATTTTTACTAAAAGAAATAAGGGTTTTCTTAAAGAATCTTTTCATAAAATACAAAGGAACTATTACAGTTAACTCCGTGAGTACCAAGTGAATACGCCAAGGTTATATACAATGATGATCTAACAAACAATGGGATGTGTGCCTTCCGCCTCATTTCCTGTTCCTTGTTTGGTTGTGGGCTTAGGGCAGATATACACAACCGATTGTTTGTTTACTCTGGGTTTCATATAACTTGTATCCATTTAGTACTCATTGAAAGGATTGTAGAGTCATTGTTACTTAGCTTTCATCAAAGCAGGAAATATAGGATTTTCTGGAGGAACAGGCGAACTTTTCTAAAAAAGAACTTACAACTTACTACAACTTTCTTACAACTTACTTACATCACTAAAATCTTATGAACTCACCAGCTTAAATTTTGATCTACACTTTCAAAATAACTTGTATTCTCAGGAGACCAGTAGACATGTACGCGCTCTGGGATTCAGAAGATGGAGCAGTATAGCTTCATGTCTTGTTTTGTTATTTACTTTGTAGTCTATGTTATGTGAACCACATACTTTGTAAACACTTTCTTTCTAATGAAATGGTTTTTTATTACTTTGATTACTATGATGCATGTCTTGTGATACTAAAAATGACGTCCTCCGCCCCCGAACGTTTCCGCCGTTCCGGTTTTGGGGTGTGACAAATTGGTATCAGAGCATTGTTTATAGTGAACTAAGTATATCAACCGATAAAAGATATACAACTATAAATACAATTGGGTCGAAGTGCTCTGGATAATAATATATTTTAAAGATATAAAAATACCTTATAAAGGTATACATACATGATTATACATATACATACTAGAACAAGTATCACAAGAAGAACATAACAGAAGTATTTAAAGGTTGAACACTGTGGTCAAACCTGGACAGTTATGTAATCATATCTAGGATCAATATAGCCTGATCAACTATATTCATTCGAGATATGAGCGGCATGTGTTTGGGGGTGATGTGGTGTTGCAACAGTCTTAAAACTTACCTAACTCTATTCAAGGAAATTCTGGATCAGAACATAAGGATAAGATACTATGGGAGTATTTTATGATACTATAACACAACAACAAGTTTAAAACATACCAAGTACATTACATTAAAATACTATAGGAGTATTTTAGGCACTATATAAATAACTTATGTGATAACTTAAAAGACCCTTACGGATAGGTCTATAATCTTGCAATGCATACTTCCAAGGTTT